GCGCGAATCATTCGTGATCCAGCCTCATCTACAGAAGAAGTGAGTGTAAGGATTTTTAATGAATCTTTGCAAATCGCCCTTCCTAATAAAGTGCTAATTAGCAAGTTTTACAATGAATGCGGCTAAAGTAAACAGTCCCTCAGAGAGCAGCTCGGAAAAGAGGGGCGGCGTCAGCAGAGCTCATTAACATTTAAAGGAAAATGATACAAAACTGCGTGCTCTGAAAAGAGCTGTTTTTGACGGTAAAAAAGCTGTTTTTTACACTACCATTGAGAAATTTTAACTAAACTATGTTACAGACTTTTCATTAAGACCCTAAAGAATCATATCAACTTGTGGAAAATGGGCATCCTATGACCCCTTTAAAAAAATAAATTAATTATAAAAATGCAGTTTCGTGTCTTATACAAATTATTTATGGCCATAAAATGTTCAGTATCCAAAAATCATGTCAACTTGTGGAAAATGGGCATCCTATGACCCCTTTAATGGATTATATATAGTAGAGATGGGATGATAAATTGAAGCATCACGATTCGTGGATCGATTCTGTGTTTTTCTGCAATTCTCTCTTGAATTGATTCTGAGCTTAGTTTTTAACAGCAGATGGCGCTGTGTGCTTTAGAAACAGCCGTACTCTGCTTGCTTCCAATTCATTACACACACCACTTGAACTTCAAATAATCATTCTGTTTCCAAAAGTTTAATAAGGTTGAAGCGAATTGCAAGGGTGTTCACAGTGGGCTGTGTTTACATTAATCTTGTGTCATAAAAGCATAAAAGCTGAGGTGGAAGGGCATGCACAAGCGCTCTTCTTCGTGAGCATTTAAGTGTGTGGTTAAAAACTAGACTAGAGCACCATCTGCTGTTAAAAACTAAGCTCAGAATCGATTCCAGAGAGAATCACAATACATTTGTAAAATCTCAGAATCGATCCAAAGGAGCAAAGAACAATGTTCAAGAGGCTCTTGGCACACATAATTTTGAGTCCTGCCAGGGCAGTGTGGTTTACTGGGAGTCCATGCATACTTAACGAGTGCTACCTGCAAGCTTCTTTCTTTCTTTTATTGGACTTTAGACTTTCCAATGTATTTTCAAAGTGCCTTGAAACCCATATCTAAGACAATATGACTGGTAGGAAACCAGTTACAGAAAATGATGATTAGTCTGTGTAGTTCAATGGTCAAGTTGACAGATACTTGATTAATTAAAAAGTAATTTCAACATACAGCCTCATTTTATTTAAATAAATATGTTGTAAAAATGTATTGAGATTACTTGTGTTTGTTTGACAGCCACCGCCAGCGCTGAGAAGAGCTTGGAGTGTGTGAGGATCGTCCTGATTGGAAAAACTGGAGTGGGAAAGAGTGCAACCGGAAACACCATCCTGGGACGTGATTTGTTTAAGTCTCGGGCCAGAATGACATCTGTGACCAGAATGTGCCAAAAAGAGACTGGAGACATCTGTGGTCGACCTGTGACTGTGGTGTACACACCAGGACTCTTCGACACGACTCTCAGTAATGAAGAGATCCAGCAGGAAATCATGAGATGCATTGAACTCTCGGCTCCTGGACCGCATGTGTTTCTGCTGGTCATCGCTGTCGGCCCGTTCACACAAGAAGAGAGAGAAACCCTTCAGCTCATCAAGATGACCTTTGGACAGAAAACAGAGGCCTACACTATGGTGTTGTTCACACGAGGAGACAATCTCACAGATGAAAGCATTGAAGACTACATTAAAGATGAAAATCCACACGTTCAGAAACTGATAAATGACTGTGAAGGAAGATTTCATGTCTTCAATAATAAACAGAAGGATCCTGCTCAGGTTGTGAATCTGTTAAAGAAGATTGATAAGATGATGTGGAATAATAATGCTAGTTTCTACAATGACAAAATGTTTCAGGAGGCCGAGAGAGCATTCAGACTCATGCAGATCAATAGAGAGAGAGAAGAGGAGGTCAGACGAGAGATGGAGGCCATTAAATCTAAATATGAGTCTGAAATCAAAGAAATTCAAGACAAACTAGAAGAGGAAAAAGCAAGAGTAAAAGTTAGAGATCTTCTGCTTGTAGAGGCACAGAACAATCGCTTAAGAAAATGTCAGACTGGAAAAATTACAGAGGATGGAGTTAAAAATGATGAGAATAAAGAAGATCTGGTGAGAAATACTGACACACAACAAGGGGCAACAGGAAGAGAATCTGATAAAGATAAAAATAAACACAAGAGAAAAAAAATCATATCAATTCTATTAAAAGATGCAAAACCAAGGGAAAAGTATCAAAAGTTAAAACAAAAGGAAACCACAAGTCAAGAAGAGGAAATTGAAGAAATAACACCTACAGATCAGAATATCAAGAAAGACACTGGCATGTTCAGAGAAGAAAAAACCTTGCAACCAGGAGATCCAAAGAAATTAAATGAAAAAATGTATTTGCCTAAAAATCCTGAAGATGAGAGAAACATGAATAAAAATAAACTTTTTCTTGAGCAGTATAAGGCAATGGAGGAATGCAAGTGGAAGATGGAGGAGATCAAGAGAAGATATAAAGAGATTGAAGAGATTCATGATGCAGAACTCAAGAAAATGAAGAAAAGACATGCTGATAACACTACTGCCTGGCAGGGAAATCATGAAAAACACTGTGTGCTTCAATAAAAGTCACATCGGTCCAGATCTCCATTTATTAAAAGCAAACATTATGAAACATTACAGACATTTCTAAAAACATGTATATATTATATACTATATAATATATTGAGAAAATAATATTCATTAGTCCCACTTTATATTAAGTGGCCTTAACTACTATGCACTTACATCAAAAAATAAGTACAATGTACTTAATGTGTTCATATTGTATTACAAAAAACGTTTGCTGCTATTGAGGTGGGAAACTGGTAAGGTTAGGGACAGGTTTGGTGGTTTGGGTAGGTTTAAGGGTGGTTTAAGGTTTAAGGGCTGGGTCAACAGTGTAATTATGAATGTAATTACAGAAATTAAGTACAGATGCAGGTATTTTTAAAATATAAGTACAGTGTACACACATGTATGTACACAATAAGTGCATTGTACCAAATGATTCATTTAAATGTAAGTACATAGTTGTTAAGGCCACTTAATATAAAGTGGGTCCTTTATATTTAACACAGTTTTAATGTGCATGTTAGAAAACAAAATGTGACACTATTGTATTCTCTGGACTTTAACCCATATTTTGCTCACAATTTGAATAATCATGATTCCTGGTCACACTGCTGGGCTTAATAAGTAAAGATGGTTATTTTTGTATGATTTTGATCATATATGATATCAGATGTCTGTGTTTAACTGTCTGAACTTGGTAACTAACAGAAGTCAATAATTCAGAAATCAGAAACTTTAAATACATGTTAAGTGTTGTTTTATCAAATAAATGATTGTGTTACTTGTATTTTTATTCATTAGTTATTGTACTTTCTCTTGTGTTGTTACTGTATAAAAATAACTGGCCAGCAGAATGGAACAAATAAATAAGTATTTGTTTAACATTTTAAACTTTGACATTTTATTTTAAATGAAAAAGACCCCACATTACAAGCAGCAATGAATATGTTAAAAAAAATATGTTTTTACATATATTTTTATTGCTGGGTAGAGTGGAAGATACAAAAAGAATCATGTTCACATTGAGCCATTGAGCCAAATCGTTCATTTATTAACCAAAAGCCGAAACCACCAAACTGTATGTGTGAGCTATTTACAATGCAACATTATATAACTTGCGAGAAAGAAAGAAAGAAAGAAAGAAAGAAAGAACGAAAGAAAGAAAAATAAAATTAACTTAGGGGAAAAGGAACTACAGCGGTGCCAAAAAACGATTCCCATAAACTACTCCCCAATCCTGCTAACCTATGTAACTACTGTATGTCCTAGGAAATAATTAATGAGGAGGCGTTCTAAAATAAAGAATGATAATTTAGCAAGTAGCATAACGGTACAGCACATGCAGAGCAGGTGGTACGGTTCCAACTCTCTAACTCTTTGGTCTCAACTTACATATAATACAAACAACTACCGCCACCTATTGGCCAATACACTCTTAAAAATAAAGGCGCTTCAAAAGTTTCTTTAAGCGATGCCATAGAAGAACCATTTTTGGTTCCACAAAGAACCATTCTGTAACACAGGTCAGAATTGAGCTGGTTAAGAGAGATGAAATACAAATTGTCATCAATTTATTTTCACAAAATAATATTAAATCATTTAAGTAAATATATAAACAAAAGTCATCCTGTGCAGTGAAAACTAAAATAATTTAATTAACAAAACTGAAAAAGCGTAACATTTTGTCTTAAGATGGGCGCTGTGTATGACGTCATTAAGATGAGACGCATAACGAGAGAGAGAGCACACGCTTCGCAGATCGCGAGTGTCATTGGAAGAGATTAAAAGGCAAATATAACAATCATCCTTTTTGATATATATAAATAATATGTTATGTGATGTTGTAGATGTTTTTAGCACGATGATTGATGATATAGAAGTGGATGATGTCGGATTGTGAGCCTCGTAGAATCCAACGTGGTTAATAATTAACCCTCTTAGCGCCAAAGTCGCAAAATTGCGACAAGACGTCATACTTAATCAAATAGGCTGTAGTTCCTAATATGGTGTAATATCTCATTTGTATTCCCTACCACTAGATGGCAGACATGTAGTACTTCGATTCTAGACCAAAATTACGTCACCTTCCTATTCAAAGTGTTTGAGGAAAGAGCAGAGCAAGTGAGCTATCTGTCATTGATGCGGAAGTGGTTCAGTTCATAGCGTGTGGATAAGCTGTGAGATTTGTGAGAGAAAATCACCAAAAGGATAATAAAAAGTTGTACCGTGAGGATGTGTTGCAAATGTTATTCGCCGATTCTGACTCTGAAGGGGAATATTTGCCTTTTGGAAATGAGGATCGGTCGTCTAATGATCGCACTTCTCCCGGTACATCTTTGCAGCGCAATGGTGCCGCCGTGCAAGGCGGCTTGAGAAAGCCAACTTACTGAAATGCTAATTAAACTTATAGTGATTATTATTATTAAGTTGGCTTGAGAAAGCCAACTTACTGAAAACCGTCTTAAACTTATTATTAAGTTGGCTTGAGAAAGCCAACTTACTGAAATCCGTC